GCCAAATTCAGTGGGCCAGGAATCAGAACAGTCAAGGAGAAAAAAGTAATTCATGTCCCTTCTGGAATTTCAGTTCTGGCTGGCTGCTTTAGAATGATGCAAGAGGAAGTTGTGTAGAGTATTTGGGCCTAGTAAGAGATTTAAGGAGCAAAACTTGATGAAGTTTGGCTATGTATCTGCAAATCGTGAATTTTCCAGGCTTTATCTGGTCAAAACTGAACAGACTTTAAGATAGTTCCAAGTTCATAGAAGTTGCTTTTATCTCTTTGCCTGAAGCGCCTGTTCCGAATTATACAGATTGAGATGCTCAGAACAGTAACTCCATATATCTTACCCAAACTGCAGCTGGCTGTGAAAATGAATATTTAAGGACTTAGTCCCATGGTCAGTCTTAAGTTGAACCTATGGCAGACTGATACTGTAAGATATAACAAGACAAGGCTTGCCCTCAGCACCAAAAGAAACAAAGTAAGGATGTTAAATATCAGTTAATTGAATAGTCGATTAACCTCATGAATTCTTATCAGTCCCACGTTTCTCAGCTGTGGGTCCCGACCCCCCGGGGGATCATGAGCAAGGGTGGTCGTGGTATCACAAAGTTTGAGAACTCCTGGGTTAGTTGATTATTCTATAGCCCTTAAGGGTGGGGACGGCAGCCAGTGTGCTCTGGCCCCGCTCCCAAGCAGTCCCCTGCCTCTCTGTGCAGAGGCAGCAGCACAGGGTGCCAGGTGGGAGCTGGTATGTGAGGGAAGACAATTTAAAAGCCAGCTCCCCTCATGGACTGGCTGGCTGTCATCCCGCGCGGCAGCCCCTGCTACAGAGGCAGCAGTGTGGGCTGACAGCAGCCCCTGGCTGGTGGGGAGGAGCTGAGTTCCTGGACCCAGCATGAGCAGGAACCGAGCCATGCTGTCTGCCCACCTGGCTCCTACTACACTTTAAATGCAGAGCCACAGTGGGAGTACGTTCCAGACCCAGTGTGAGCCAGGACTGAGCAGTGCTGCTGGCCTGCCCACTTAATTTATTGGCAAGGAGGGAGGGGGAAGTATGTGTAGTCTATAGCATTAACCTATAAGCCTTTGCTTATCGGTTATTCAACTACACTATTAAATCCCTAGAACAAAGTGCACATGTATTCTGGTTCTCTACTCCGAGTCATATTTTGAATAAAGATAATACAGCCTCATATGTTCCAATTCATTTAAAATTGGTTTACTAAACTGACTGTTTAGCTGGTGGTGGTGCAAATTTGAAATCTGAAATAGTATATTTTAAAAAGTGCAAATAGATCTTGAAATAGTTTCTAGCACTAGTGCCCTATTATTCCACAAACCTGCACTTGTTCATCGTCTTATCTACATTTAAAATGCTACAGCAGCACAGCTTTGTTTTAATTCTTCAGTTAGATACTATGCTGATGAGAGGTGGGTCTAAACCAGGGTCTGCAAACTTTCTGAAATGTGCCAAGATTTTACCCTTCTGCCTTGAGCTGCACCGCTCTCCCAGGAGGTGGGCAGAGGACTCTCTCCACTGCATGCTGTGACGTAGTGGGGGTACCTGGCTGGTTTCTATGCTGCTGGCTCTGGGGTAACCCCCACTGGCTGCCGTGGGTACCACGACCCAGCAAAACAGGATGAGTCACTATGCAAACCAGTGGCCAGACACCCCCCATGGAGAGGAACAAAGGAAGGTGGAATGCTGCCTTGGCTGGGGGGCAGGGCTGGAAGTTGGGGAGTTGGTTGCTGGCTGTCGGAGGGCATGGAGGAGAGCCTAGGGGAAGGGGCTGGAGTTTAGGGGCCCAGTCTCCCCCATCTCAAGGGGGCCTGAGGCATCCTAGCCCAGTTCCTGTAACCAGATTACATCTGTGCTGCGCTGTGCTGGAGGAGCAATAAACCACCCTCAATTCCACTGGCTGGTGCAGTCTGTTTGTGCCATTTCGGGGTGCAGGAGACGGGGAACCCCCAACGCGCCGTCACACATGCCTCACTTGGTCTCCTGCCCTAGGCTCTGCTCCAGCTTTTCCTATGGGGAGTGGAGGAGCAGTGCATACACACTTCCCCGCACTTGGGTGCAGGATCTGGATGGGATGCAGGGTGAAGGAGCAGGCTGGGAGGAGGTTGTCTGACAAGGGGGGAGGGGGCAGGAGCCAGAGGGGTGCAGTGTCTGTAACAATTTATTTTAACAGTCCCTTCCATGTGGCAGCCAGACGCTGTTCTACACATCGAATAAGTTAGTGGCCCATGGGCAGAGCATGGAATGGAGGTCGTGCTTCACTAGGAGTGCAGGGAATCTGGCCAGCAGGTCCGGGCAGGCTGGCCAGGAGCCAGCACCTGGAAGACTAACTCCAGTGGCCTCACAGGCTTCCTGGTGCATGTGCGTCCATTGCGCATGCAGGAGGTGGCAGAGCAGTAGGGACATGGCCATGGCAGCAGCAGGTCCTTCATGGGAAAGGTGGTAGTCTGGTCTGCTTTTGCCCTCTCCCTTCTCCCTGCTGCTCTGAGGCACCTGTCCCAGGCATGGCTTCTTGCTGTTCCACTGGCTGGATTCTGGCCAATGGAGAAGTGGGAAAAGCCTGTTGGCAGTACGGTGCTTTGTTCTCTGCATGTATGCCAGCCTTTGCTGATCCCTTGGTATAGGCAGTTGTCTGCTGAGGGGCAGCAAAGTTGATGGAAGAATTCAAAAGTCTCGGCAGGGTAGCCATGTTCGTCTACAACTAAAGAAACTTAAACAACAATGGCCCTGTACTTTAGAGACTAACAAAAATATAGTTAAGTTCTGGGATGTTGCTTGTGTAGATGTGTGGACAGAGTTGGCACTGGGATTTACTGCAGAGTTGAGTTCCTGGGTGAGTATGTCTGACATGTGATGTGTTGCTGCAGAAAAGAATTTAGTTCAGGTTAGGGGGTTGTCTGTAGGTGAGGATTCATGTATATGGATTGACTGAAACTGATCTGTCTAGTGGAGAATAGGCCTTAGTTTTCTTCAGCCAAATACAGGAGTTTTCATTAGCTGAAAGTGCTGTACCAAGGTAGAATTTGACTCCTGCAAATTATAACAGGTGCAAGGTAAATGTATTTTCAGTAGTATTGTTGATAGGAAGGGCAACTGAAGTTCTGTGGTTATAATGGTGCAATTTCAAAGATTCTGCTGCGCAAGTGGAGGATAGAGTATTAAACCAGTCTGGGAGTTGGGAACCAAACACATCTCCATTCTCTACTACATAATTCCTATGTGACCTTGGTATGATTTTTAACCTTTGTCTCAGTTCCCCCCTGTAAAACTGGAATTAAGAGCGCTTCACTATCTTATGAATATAGCGAGGATAAATACATGAAATATTGAAGTTGTTAGATAACATAGTAATCAAAGACCATCATAGTATTAAGAACAGTAGCTAGCTTTTTTTGGTTCTCCCAACTGGAATGTGGTGACTTAAGACTGCCAAGAAAAGGTTAAGCAAGTACATTTCCATATTGAGTGGTTTCTTCTTATTGTACAGGGATGCATCACTTATGGCTATGAGAAGGCGTATTGAAGGTTTGACCCCAGAAGAAATTAGAAATCTCTCCAAAGATGAAATGCACATGCCTACAACCATGGAGGATTTTGAAATGGCTTTAAAAAAGGTTTCTAAATCGGTATCTGCTGTGGACATTGAGAAATATGAAAAATGGATTGTTGAATTTGGATCATGCTAAGTCTTCCTAACCAGACTTCCCCCTGAGAAATCTGTCTTAAAACAGCTTCAGAAGTAATGAAAGGTAGTGTTCAAGTGCACTAAGTGCTATTTTTTTAACTTTCTTAAACTTAAGAGAAACACGAATAAACTCATTTTTAAATTGCAAGTCACTTTTGCCTCTTACTTGAATTAACTCAAGTCTCACAATCTATTTCTGATTCAAAAATATGAAGCACAGAGATCACATGTGCTTTTGGTTTTGTGTGTTTAAAATACTAGGGTCTGTTACTGGTGGCTTTCCGTGTGTGTGCTCTTTCACTGCCACAGAAACTGGTTTCATGATGCTTGCTAGATCTTGTGGATCTCAACATAGCAAGAGTTAGATTCACTGGATAGTAGTGGCATTTTTTTAACCATCTTGCCTTTTTAAATGTTCCTGCATCTGTTAAAGAAATGTACCCAGGCTAAGCTGCAAACCCTCTGAAATTTTGTAACCATTTACTTCAGTCAGACTTAAGTTTATTAGGATTTCATTTAAGATGAATTGGGGGGGAAAAGCATATCCTTAGATATGCTGTACAATTCTGACTAGTGCCAGAAAGTCCAGTTTAAACTCTTAGGCATTACTGCCCCATTTTAGGAGAGGACAACTTCCCTTGTCTGTGCATGTTCCATGTCACTGTATTCAGGAATTTTACTTAGGGTCAAAGATAACTATAAGGCCCACTGTTCTCAAGCTTAAAGAAAGAGGCTATTTTTGCTTGTACAGTAAAACCTGTGTTATCCAGCATGCTGGGGGATTAGGGCGTTCTGGTTATGTAAAAATTCCAGTTATGAAGGTTCCATCAACCTAGGAAAAAACAATGGACAATAATAGTAAAACTTGTTTTTAATATTGGTAGTTTTGTAATGTGAGACCAACTGCCTCACATTTCCGTTTTGAGTTAAGGATGACTAGTACTACTAAATTTTTTATTTAGGCCAATCATGGTAAATCAAGCCAGGCCTGTGCCCCTGAAGATGTGACAGTGGGCAGTGATGGATAACAAAGGTTTCACTGTAACTAATATTCCTGCTATTTACGGAATAAGTAAAAAGTTAAACTCTTAGCTTTTTTTCTTCAGGTAATGGCAACCACTTTACTACAGTTTGATTTCCTTCCAGAGTGTTTATATATACACAGTGAGTCTAGTAAATTTAAATGTTAGTTTGCAAAAATTTGTGGAAAAAAAGATGCTTCCTAAACTCAAGATACTAAATCAGTGTTAGACATATGTTCTTGTTTGAGACACTTTACATAATACCACAAGCTACCCAAAAATTATAGTGAACAAGTCATTTTATAAGTGGCTTAATATATTAAATGTTGAATAAAGTGCTTGAAATATGAAAAATTGCCTTAATACCTTTTTACATATGCAGTAACCACTTTTTAGTAGTAAACATTTGTTTATACAAGGCACAGTCACTGGTAATAGGTCTAAAACCAGGTTGACCAACTTGGTTTTGGATTGTAGGCACATGTGCAGTCTCTTCCTTTTAGTTTTGTCCCATGCTTGAGAGGACTGAAGATTATCACATTCTGTGTTTATGAAGGCCATTTCCTGTTGTAGGTATTGGGAGAGTATTTTAAATAAATTAAAATTCATCACAACCCTTGTAGTAGGAAGCTGCTGTTCTTTGAGAAAGAGGCTATGGGGAAGAAGGGAAACATTTTTGGCTTGAACCTTGAAATGTCCCTTCTTAAACCTAAGTCAGCTGATGATCAATTTTCAGAATAGAAAGCAAGTAACATATTTAAGTTCAAGTACCAAATTTCAGGTCAACTGAAGATTGTACAAAGATTCAGATGTGAACGTGGTACTGAGTACGTCATTTCTCCAGTAGATTATCTGTCTTCTCTGGAATATCTGGAGAGGGATTTATCACAACCACAGGTGCAGCACGGATATCCTCCATGCGAAGAATTCCTCTGAAAAACACATTACTTTATCTTTAGAACAGGAGTACTTCTGTTTTGAGAATACAAGGTTTTTTGCATGTTATCAACCTTTCATTGTAATTCAACACATGAAATCAGTACAGACTGAGTTTTCGTTAAATGAAGAGGCAGCACTGGTATTGAAGCTTGAGGAAAGCTGCTTTGATACTTAAGCTTTGTTACCCCTTGGCTACGTCTAGACTGGCATAATTTTCAGCAAATGCTTTTAACTGAAAAGTTTTCTCTTAAAAGCATTTGCAGAAAAGAGTGTCTAGATTGGCACGGACGCTTTTCCGCAAAAAGCACTTTTTGCGGAAAAGTGTCCGTGCCAATCTAGATGCGCTTTTGTGCAAAAAAGCCCTGATTGCCATTTTCACGATCGGGGATTTTTTGCGCAAAACAAATCTGAGCTGTCTACACTGGCCCTTTTGCGCAAAAGGGACTTTTGCCCGAACGGGAGCAGCATAGTATTTCTGCAAGAAGCACTGATTTCTTACAGTAGGAAGTCAGTGTTCTTGCAGAAATTCAAGTGGCCAGTGTAGACAGCTGGCAAGTTTTTCCGCAAAAGCAGCTGCTTTTATGGAAAAACTTGCCAGTCTAGACACAGCCCTTAAGTTTAAAGTGATGCCACAGCAATGCTTTAATGCAGCAGTGTAGTCACAGCACAGCCTCGGGAGCACATTTACACTGGTGCTGGGTAGAGCTGTAACTTGCTATGTTCAGGTTGTGTATGTGTGTTTTCATACCCGTGTGTGAGCATTAGCACCATTAAATTGGCAGTGTAATCAAACCCTTAGTGACTTTTGGCACATCATCCAAAATATCAGCATACAATTTTGTTCCTACCTCACAAGTATTTAAATTTGATTTCAATACAGTTTCAACAATTATCTGCCAAAAGCTGCTACATTAGGGCTAAGCCTAAGAGCTTGTCAATGATTTAACACGTTTACAAGACAGAGAGCTCTGAAGATTACCTCTTTATAGAAGAGGTCATCTTAAGTCCAGTTCAGCTCAGATGTGAGACATTTTAACTTCAAACTCCATCTTAATGTTGGCTTGGCATTTTATTTACAGTATTAAAACCTTGAGGAATGTGTCTTAACTTTGGCAGTAAGCATAAACTCAACAACTTTCCCACTGAGGTAATGCATTGGTTATTCAGGCAGCACAGCTAGCACATCGGGATTCGTGACTGCACTATATTCAGTCAAGATAGAATTCCTGCTTTCCATTGTTGCATCACTACACATGCCTATTCTCTCTCCTTCCCCCTCCCCCCATGAAAAAGGGAGGTAAATTGTCCCCAGAGGGGAAACAAGTGAAGTGGCTTCTGTAAAACAAGGTGTGTAACTGATTTAGTGTTTTTTCAGAGCACATGGTTGACAGTGCAGCCTTGTTAACTCCAGGATGTGTGGCAATGTTGGAACAAACATATTCTAGCCTTGTTTGACTACACTATCAGGGCAGAGCTGTGGATAGTTGGGCTTCTTGTTTGAGATGACTAATGCTGTAGAAAAAAGCCCTACCCCTCACAGGATATCTTCAGAGAGCTGCTGTTATACATGTGAAATAATGCATGATTTTTTTTTTCAAAAACTACTTAAATCACTGGAAAGCGGACTTTCCATCATTACTGTCTCCATTCATTGACTGGTCTTATGACTACAAATGTTGCTTTTTGGGAGTATGCAAAAATTACTCACTTGTGTTCGAAGGATGGGAAAAGCACTTTTAAGATTCCTAAGACTAGAGCCGCTCCTATGACTCCAGTCCCAATGACCTCCATCAGCTTAAAGATCACAGGAAAAAATTTAAGCCAGAACCCACACAGTTCTTTTCTCAAGTATTCCACCCACTGGCACATCACCTGAAATCAATAAACATGTTAAAAGAAAAAGTTTCTGAAATGTCAAATGCAGCCTAGCTACTGGAGAATCAATACTGGAGGTAATAGCTCTGTTTTAAATGTATAATCAAGGACAAACTGCTTTATAATCACATTTTCTAATTGTCGCCCTGTTCAGGATGATCTGATGTGTAAATCTGAAATAGTTATATAAGAAGCTCCAATATTTTGGGGTAGGGAATTGAGAACCACAGAAGCAGCTGACAGCAAGGCATAATGAAGCTTAGGTGTAGATTACACATGCTGCTTGGGACCAGAATAGCAATTCCAATTAC